CTGTGTGCCTGTGTGTGTGGGTGTGTGTGTGTGTGTCAGTGTGTGAGCATCACGATCTAACTTGCGTGGAAGAATAACATCAGAATGTCAGAATAAATACCCATTCATGCAAACTTCACCACAACAAATTTAATTAATATAAACTGTGGCATATTCACAGCCAAGTAATCAATTTAAAATCACAGGAGAGAGACAGACAAAGGACAACTAACCCATCATATTCATCCAGCTTGCATTCCTTCATCACTGACAGAGCATGACCTTTCCGTTCTGTCACTAGAGAGAGAGAGAGAGAGACAGACAGACAGACAGACAGACAGACAGACAGGAGGAGAGAGGGGGAAACAGATGGAGAGACATTGAGATGGACAGAGATAGAGTGTTCATATATGTGTGTGGTCACAAGGACACACGCATGTGTTCGATGGCTGCCAAAAAAAAAAAGTGGGACAACGGATATCACACCATCTGCTTAGAGGAGTTGAGAAGATATGAGGAGGAGAGGAGAGGGGAGGAAACAAGGAGAAATTGGGAGGAGAGAAGATATGAGGAGGAGGAGAGGAGAGTGGCAGAGAGGAAACCAGGATGAAAAGAGGAGAGGAGAAGAAGGTGGAGGAGGAAAAAAAGAGAAAATATGAGATAAAGGGAGGAAACAACAAGAGGAGAGGAGTAGAGGAAAGGAAAAGAGGAGAAAAGAAGCGGAGATGAAACAAGAAAAGAAGAGGATAAGGAAAGGAGACAAGGAGAGGGAACAAGAGAGGAGATACAAAAAAAACAAAGAGAAAAGAGGAGACAAGGATGGAAACAAGATAGGAGAGGAGACAAGGAAAGGAGAGGAAGTAAGAGAGGAGAGGAGAGAAGAGGAGAGGAGCAGGTTGTCTCCCTGTCACAACAGATGGGCTAGGCTCCACCCCCTGTATCAGGTTACCTAGCGACCAGAGACTGCCATTAACTCTGACCTTTGGACCTCCTCCACATACATACACACACACAGATTTCACATCGTCTTCTCTAATATCAATAAAGAAGGAGGGATTGTTACAAGTATTAAAACCACTGCGACAGCTCTGCTGCACGTACACATTATTTTATGATAAATCCAAAAATCAGGTAATAATAACAATAATATTCACAATTTTTCTTCATAAAGATGATCAGCAGATAAATAAAGTGGGTGGACTGACCAGTGATGTCTGTGCGGACGTCGGCCATCTTGAAGAGCGGAGCCACATGTTCTCTGTAGATGTGAACGGCCTCCTTCTTGTGGCTGCTGGGGTTGATGAACACCTTTAGATACCTGGGACGACTGCTGGACTCTGCACGCACGCGCGCACGCGCACGCACGCGCACGCACGCGCACGCACGCACACACACACACACACACACACACACACACACACACACACACACGCACACGTAACGTACAGTGAAAATGGTTTGTTTTCAGCCTTGCCAGTGGTCTGTGCACCAGTTGGTTCTAGAATGAAAAATCTCAACAATTGCACTGGGAGTCACCAGAGGCCCCACAATATGACGTTATCACGATATTTAAGTAACGATACAATATTATTGCTATTTCTAACATTTTGCAATATGCTTAGTATTGCAATATCAAATTTTGCGATTTATTACCTTTTTGCATATTAGGCAGTTCATCAACATCAGTTTTATCTAATAATTCAAATGATTAGGAAATAAATGATTGTATTTGTATTGATAGAAAAATCTTGGTATTCTTGGTCATTTAAATAATGTATTATAAGCTGCTTAGAGCTATTGTTAGAAAGTTAAGCCTGTCCAATATCTATTAATGTTGCTTTGAAAACATCTCCTTAAAAAGACTGGATTTATTCGTTTCTCACCAAAAGTACATTTTACATGATTATATTTGAACACATCATGATAAACTTACAATGCTCATTTTTACAGATTCGAGCTTAAACGCACCACAATTTAACCAATGTTTATGCCAAGTTATGGCCAAATCGGTTAATCCCCACATTCCTAATTGCAATATTAATAGTTTGTATAATAAAAGATCGATACTTGCTGAACTAAGATGGTGAATGTTGTATTCCTGCTAAACATCACTATGCTAGCATTATCAGTGTTAGCATGCTGACGTTAGCATTTAGCTCAAAGCACAGGAGTATCTAAATACAGCCTCATAGCGCCATTAGCAAGGCTAGTCTCCTCGGATGTGTCTGGGAAATTTAAAAAAGGAGTGAAAGATGTTCCTTCTCAATTTGCCAGAATTTCTAGCTTCTCAATTGTGAAGATTTGTTGCTTTTCATTATTTTATATCAATGTAAACTTAATATCTTGAGGTTTTGGACGGTTGCATTGTCCCTCTAGTCATGTAAATCCAAAAGCTAAACTAGCAAAAGTCTGGATGATGAGTAGTAGATTGTGCTACTGTGATACCATTCTAACATTGCAGAGGTCTGTTTGATGCAAAATATTCAGCATATCTTTTCCATCCCCAACACTGGTAGACAGTGTGAGCGTGTGTGTGTGTGTGGTTACATGGTATCGTCTCCAAACTACAGTCACAAACACACACCCCTGACCCCCTGTACAGCTCATCATTAGGCAGATTTAGAGGCCGCATTATAAATCCCCATAGACCCACACAGATCAATACACACACACACACAGGCTCCATTATCCAGATCATTACTATAATCTGTTCCCAGAAGGCTGTGACCTCGCCCTGTTAATGACCCACACTCACATGCACACAGTGCACACCTCCTGCCATCACTCATACCCCACGGCTCTGACCAGGTTTCTCAGGAGTTCCCGTGAGGAGTTACTCA